TACTCAGGCAGAGAAGCATCTGACAAAGTCCAAAACTCTGGAATCATTAGGTGTAGCCGGGAGCTTCCTCAGTTTGGTAAATTACAAATAGATAATCTCATACTCCGTGGTGAGAAATACTTTCCTCTTAAAGTCTAAAATGTTTTGTCTTACCAACCAATGCAATAATACAAGAGAAAGAAACAAAAGCCATACGGTTTGAGAAGGAAGAAACAAGACTATCTTTATTCACAGGTGACATGATTGTCTGTGGAGAAAACTCCCAAAGAAGCTACAAAAACGCTCCTGGAACTGGTTAGTGAAAATATCCAAGTGTCAGGATAGAAGGTCAATACACAAAAGTCTATTTCTCCTTATTTAATTTATGTATTGAATATATTCTCAGACTTTTCGTGTGTGTTTCCTCAAAAGAAGCTGCGGACTCAAGGACGGTACAACATTCCAAGATTTTGGTGTGTGTGTGTGTGTGTTTTTTTTTTTTTAATTTTAGGGAAGGGTCTACAGGGTGTTCAGGGTCTCACTACTAGATCAGACTCCTAGTGATTCTTCTGTTTACAGCCTCCACGTGCTGGGATTACAGGCGCGCGCCACCAAGCCCAGTCTCGAGTGCCGGCTCAGTGTGTTGGGGCGGAGGGGGCAGCATGGCAGGCCCGGGGATGGAGCCCCCGGCCCGTGCTAGACTTTGAAATTAAGATAATTCTAAAACATGTGTGGAAGAGTAAGTGATCAGTTGTTAGCTTGGACACTTCTGTCTGAGATAGAAAAGGAGAAGCAGCCCCGCTCCCAGATATTAGATGGCGTGGCTGTACAGACACAGATAAATTGACTAACGGGCAAGCATAAATCCCAGACGCAGCAGGCATGTGTAGAACTCTGCTGTGTGACAGAGGTAGCACACATATCACTGGGGAAAAACAGGCCACATTCAACAAATGGAACTGAAAAAATGCTTATCCATATGTGAAAAGATAAAATTAGAATTCACTGTATAAAAAAAATCCAGATAAGTTAAGAACTTGCATATCAAAAGCAAATGTTTAAAATTTAAGTGGAAAATATAAGTACAAAAATCTTAATCAGATGAGACAATGGATATCCAATAGAAAAGACTGTATATGCAAATATATTAGAATTTTAAATATCTGTCCATCAGACAACACTTTAAAAGATAAGCTAAAAGCTGGGAGAAGAGATTTATAATCTATGCCACCAGGACTGAATTAAAAATTTTCTTCAAGTATGTATGAAAAACACAAAGAACACTATAAGACATGGGCAGAAATTAAAGCCAAACTTTTCACAAGAGGAAATAACTATAAATAAAGAGATGTGTAACCTTAGTGATCAGGAAACACAAAACAAGGTACCATTTCTCTCTCTCTCTCTCTCTCTCTCTCTCTCTCTCACACACACACACACACACACACACACACACACACACACACACACACGAGGCCTGGCCACGCCCGCCTTTTGGGAGACTGTGGGTCTGTGTAGGTCTCCTGTGTAACCCTGGAGAGGGCAGACCGCTGTCACCATCTGGAGAAGTCTGGCTGGGCTCCCCAGCTCAAACATTTATGTCCTTTCAGACCCAGCAGCTCTCCTGGCTATGTTGAGATTATGGAAAGGAAAGAAGAGAGGGATCAACAGAGAGACCGGCAAGCAGGCCAGAGTCCATCTCAAAAGGGGCTGGCTGTGCAGGTGAAAAGCAGCTTTTCAATTCAAGGGCTATTTAAAGCAACAAAAGACTAGAACAAGAACTGCCCAGAAAATGGCCCCAAAATGTGCTTAATCTTATTCACTGCTAGGGAAATATTACAACACAATGAAGTACCATTACACACTGACTACAATGGCTACAGTGTCAAGGAGGCTGTGAGCAGTCAGGATTTTCACATAAGGCTGCAGAAGGGTAAATGTGTTACCTCCACTTTAGAAAACGACATAGCTTTGTGCCCCGCTCCCCAGCAACTCTATTCCCAGGCACATAACAACAGAAATGTGCACGAAATCACACCTAAATACATGCACAAGAATCCTCATAGCTGCTGCCCCAGCCCTGCCCCTGGGGCACACTGAGCCGGCTGCCAAGACTGAGCATGGTGGTGCACATGTGTAATCCCAGCGCTGGGAAGGCTGGAGAAAGGAGGATCACTGTGAGTCCGAGCTTTGTAGTGAGATCCGGTACCAAATACATTGAAAAAAAATTTCTCATCGCGCATAATTTAGAGCAGCTGGAAACAGGTGCTATAACAAATGCCTCTCTGGAATAAAATAGATAAATGGTGGCCTAACCATGCCATGAAATGCTACGCCAAGAGGAGAATGCATGTGCTGCAGATCATGTGAT